TGAAGGCTTGTTTCAGACCAGGATGAGATTAATGAGGATTATTTTAGGCTGAATCATGTCAAGCTGGGAATGATCTCTCTCTCTCTCTCTCTCTCTCTCTCTCTCTCGTTCAGGCCTGATGGACGGGAAGCACTGCACGCTGCCTCACCTCACGGGGAAAACCTTTGTTTATAATGCAGCAGAGGAGCGTTTGGAGCTCTGCGTGGACGCTGCCGGTCACTTCCCTGTTGGGCCTGATGTAGAGGAACTGGTGAAGGAGGCCCTGGTGCAGCTTCGCTCTGAGGCATCCGGGAGGGGCAGTAGAGAGGGTAGTCCCTCTCACGGCGTGCTGCGGCTGGGCAGCGGTGGCGTTGTTCGTAAAAAGGAGCAGCTGCAGAGTGTCACGGCCTTTCAGGGAAAAGGCCACTCTCTGGGCAGCGCCGGAGGCTCCTCCCCACCGGAACACCGCCCTATCACACGACAGCACAGCAGTGGCGTGGACCTGAGTGCCAGCGTGTCCCGAGGACCCCCGGACCTGTCGGACATCCCCGAGGACACCACCAGGGAGCTGGTCCGCATGGCTCCGGGCTTCGTCACCATGAAGGACGGCCGTGGACTCGACCCCAGCCTGATGGAGCAGCAGCGAAGGAAGCTGCAGGAAATGGTGTCCTCCATCCAGGCCTCCATGGAGCGGCACCTGAAAGAGCAGCAGAGCACCGCCTCCGGGGGAAGGGCCGCCCAGGAGCCGACGGCCGGAAGCCAGGCGGGCGAGGACCAGTCGGTGTCCGCGGCCGACCACAAACCGCCAGCTGCAGCGTCGACAACGGCAGCCGTCAAACCTGAGCAGAAGGTGGAGGAACCGGAGGAGATGGACAGCCAGGACGCCGGGCAGAGTAACGCCACCGAACCCATGGATCACTCCTGATCACGCCTGAGCCCCAGCACCGCCCCACCCCCGCACCCGCCTGACCGGCATCTGTGGGTCATAACACCTCAGGTCGGATCCTCAAGCTTTGGTCTTCATCGTGTTGCGTTGTCTTTACTGCATGACTAAGAGCGGGCCGACTGTCCTCGCCGCCTCGAACTCCGGGTGGGACAGCCGTCGATGAAGCGATATATTGTGACGCGCCGTCTGCGATATGTCATCGATTCACCATCTCACAGGTCTGCTGCAGAAGCCGTCGCCATGCGTGTTTCCACTGTATCCACTG